ACAGAAGTCGAGTTCAGGCGTCTCTGTGGAGAGAAACGAGCAGAGCGGCTCGATTTCCTGCATTTTTCAGTTTGTGTGAACATGTTCACTGCTGTGTGTGTGTGTGTGTTCTTATCAGCAGATTTGTCAGCTGTCGACTCTCATTATGTTAATGATCAGAGAGACCATGACTCAAATACACACACACACAATATAAACATAGCGCAATGATACAAAGTTGAAGCTACATTCAAGGACCAGTCCGTAAGGTTTCTATATACATCACTGATACATTACTGTCTATGGGATTATGAATAAAGGCATATTTGTCTGTATCTTTGCTGCACGCACACACATGGCTTCATCATGTGAGGAGCAGGGTGGAGGGTGAGGAGGTGAGGGGAGCAGCTCTGCAGCAGTCCGAGGAGGCTGAACAGCGTGTTAGTGTGCAGACGGACTGAACAGACCTCTGAGTGTCGACTGCATGTAAATGAATCCCGGGAGAGCACACACACACACACACACACACACACACACACAGCGTCAGCACTTCCTGTGCAGTGAACACATACATCACCTTGTTGTCAGTGACTTTCTGTTCATTAATCACACTGAAGACAAACACTGAGTCTCATTTCTGGGATTCTGGGATTTTAGGGTTAAATCTGGAGACAAATTCAGTTTTATTCTTAAGACTCTGTCTCTGTATCTGTCTTCCTTTAAGCAGGACACAGAGGTTTGTGTGATGAACTCTCTCTGAACCGTCTGAACATCAACATGATGATTTGTGGTCGCTCTGATTACAGCCAACAGTCGTCGCTCCGAAAACAAAGTGGAACATAAAACATGTTCAGAACCCTCCACGTTTACTGCAGCTGCAGACCGCAGACCAGAGACTCCATCAGAGACAATGAGATGCAACCAGGGACTAAATGAGAGACAACCTGAGACAAGATGCAACGAGAGACAACCAAAGACAACGTGATGCAACAAAAGACAACAAGATACATCAACAGACAACCTGAGACGAGATGCAATGAGAGACAACCAAAGACAATGAGATGCAACAAAAGACTTCTCAAGACAAAGATGACGAGATGCAATGAAAGACAACCTGTGACAAAGAGATGCAATGTAAGACAACAAGATACAACAAAAGACATCCCGAGACAACGAGATGCAATGAAAGACAACAAGATACAACAACAGACAGCCTGAGACAACAAGATGCAACGAAAGACATCCTGAGACAACGAGATGCAACGAAAGACAACCTGAGACAAGATGTAACGAGAGACAACCAAAGAAAATGAGATGCAACAAAAGACAACCTGAGACGAGATGCAACGAAAGACAACAAGATAGACCAACAGACAACCTGAGACAACGAGATGCAACGACAGACAACCTGAGACAAGATGCAACGAGAGATAACCAAAGACAATGAGATGCAACAAAAGACATCCCGAGACAACGAGATGCAACGAAAGACAACCTGAGTCAAAGAGATGCAACGAAAGACAAGATACAACAGACAGCCTGAGACAACGAGATGCAACGAAAGACATCCTGAGACAACGAGATGCAATGAAAGACATCCTGAGACAGATATGCAATGTAAGACAACAAAATACAACAGACAGCCTCAGACAAAGAGATGCAAAGTAAGACAACAAGATACAACAACAGACAACCTGAGACAACGAGATGCAACGAAAGACAACCTGAGACAAAGAGATGCAAAGTAAGACAACAAGATACAACAACAGACAACCTGAGACAATGAGATGCAACGAAAGACAACAAGATACAACAGACAACCTGAGACAACGAGATGCAACGAAAGACAACCTGAGACAAGATGTAAGGAGAGACAACCAAAGACAATGAGATGCAACAAAAGACAACCTGAGACAACAAGATGCAACGAAAGACAACAAGATATAACAACAGACAACCTGAGACAACGAGATGCAACGACAGACAACCTGAGACAAGATGCAATGAGAGACAACCAAAGACAGTGAGATGCAACAAAAGACATCCCGAGACAACGAGATGCAACGAAAGACAACCTGAGTCAAAGAGATGCAACGAAAGACAAGATACAACAGACAGCCTGAGACAACGAGATGCAACGAAAGACATCCTGAGACGAGATGCAATGAAAGACAACCTGAGACAAAGAGATGCAATGTAAGACAAGATACAACAGACGACCTGAGACGAGATGCAATGAAAGACAACCTGAGACAAAGAGATGCAATGAAAGACATCCTGAGACAGATATGCAAAGTAAGACAACAAGATACAACAACAGACAACCTGAGACAACGAGATGCAACGAAGACAACCTGAGACAATAAGATGCAACGAAAGACAACAAGATACAACAGACAACCTGAGACAACGAGATGCAATGAAGACAACCTGAGACAATAAGATGCAACAACGAGCAACTTGGGACAATAAAAGGCAATGAAAGCCAACCTGAGACAATGAGTTGCAACAAAAGACAACCTGAGATGAGATGCAACAACAGAAAACCAGAGACAACGAGATGCAACAAGAGACAGCCTGAGAGAAAGAGATGCAACAAAAGACAACCTGAGATGAGATGCAACAACAGATAAACCTGAGACAAGATGCAACAAAAGAACCTGAGAAAAAGAGATGCAGGAAAAGACAAACTGAGACAAGAGGCAACAAAAGACAACCTCAGATGTGATGCAACAACAGAATACCAGAGACAACGAGATGCAACAAGAGACAAACTGAGACAAGATCTTTAAGACAACAAGCTACAAAGAGACACTGAGCCTGATTCACTAATATGTGCAAATAAATAATTTAAACTTACCTAGAAAAAATAAATGACTGTCACATTTATGACCAATGTTGGTCTGACCACTGTGTGCAACCTACTGAATCAGAATCATTTAAATCGGCCAGCGCTCTCTCTATTTAAGGAAATATGTCGCAGCTCAAGATGCTGTTTCTCTCTGGAACGTCCCTGTAGACATTTAACTGATGATAGACAGGACTTGAGCCTCGGAAGGTATCAGGTGACAGCAGTGTGTCTCAAGACTGCGAATAACACAGCTGCAGCAAAATGTGTCTCTAAAGTCTGAGAGAGCTGTTGAGCTATGTTGCTCTCTTCAAATATGTTATGTCAGTCTCTGCAGATGTGCTCACTCATGAAGGCTTGGGCTTTGATATCTTCCAGCAAGGTTATGTATTGTAACACCTGTCTGGAGGTAAATCAGAATCTTTATATCAATCGGTTGCAATTTCATGGCAGTAGAGTGGAGCCAGTGGGCCTTTATCATCAGTCTGAGGCAAGTATGCATTCAATTTCAGAGTATGAACAAATTCAGGTGAGAAAATATTGAAGAATCCCAGATTTGTGTGTAAAACGCTGATGCGCACGGTTACACCACAGGTTGTTTGTTGCAATGAGACTGGCTAGACGTGGTGGCCGTAAAGAAATATAAGATGACACCGTGTAAAAGACAGAACAAAACTGAAGATCACCATTAACCTCAGCTGCACTTTGTCTTACTGCTAATTAGCTACTGTTAGCATGCTAATATGCTAAGCTAAATCGAAACAAAAGATAACTCTCTAGTGTTTAATAATAAAGATGGTTTAACTTTCTGTTACATATTTATCAGAAACACTAAATACTACAACCCTTCACGGTGACTTTTCAGTTTTTTATTAACATTCCTTTTAGGCTGTTTTCTCTTGTTTAAATAAAGGTTTAAATAGAGACCAAGATGGTGAACATTAAACCTTCACATCAGCATGTTAGCGTGCTGCAGCAGGCTGCGGACTCTCAGACTGGCTGGGCGACGCTGTTGCTGCTGTGGATAAATAATTAGTAGCACGATCAGACCGCAGAGACTCAGAAATATGCAGATAAAAAGATTTGATACAGAGGTTGCAGCCAGGAGTGTGTGAAGCAGCTTAACACACAAACACGGTGTAAATATCTTGTGATCGGGCTGAGCAGCAGGGAGACAAACCCTCAGAGCTCCAGATGAACCCAGAACAACCAAACAGTAATGTTAAAGTCCACATTTAATGAAGCATAAAAAGGTTAAGCACCAGTATTGGCATACACAGACATTATATACAAACACACACATCAGTAACAGTCATTTACAGTTGCATATATGATCATTTACAGGAGTGACGTGTGAAGCAGCTCGGTGGTAAAACCTCACGACGAGTCGAGTTTCACTTTTGGTTGAAGGTTTTTGGCTGTTAAGTTTTAAATATCATGTGTTTCCAGAGAAAATCAAAGTCATCAGAAACTGAAAATAGCCCTCAGAATAACAGAAGGCGACAGCTGAAAAGAAGCTTTGTGTGCTTTCTTTTTAAAGCTTTGTGGGAGCTATTTATGTCTGGAACATGTAAAAGTGGACCAGACTGGAGAACAATGACTTTAAAGAGCTTCAGGCAAACACATTTCCAGCCTGCGAATCAAAGTGTTGGCAGCAGCCTGCTGCGAATTCAAAAACTCTTGACATTTAGTGAAATCCTGTTTTCCTGCTGTCGTCTCCAGAGTCAGAGGATGGATATCAGTTTTATCTCTGTGCGTTTAGGTTAGCTTAGCACAAAGACTGGGAGCAGGGGGGGAACTGTTAGCTTAGCTCCATCACAAGATAAACATACTGAAAATTTGCAGCAAATGATCCCAAAGTACAGACGGGACAGTCGAGCATGAATGTCATCTCATTACCATACATTATGTTTAATGTTTATTCTGACTGTTCAAAGATATTTAAATTTATGTCCAAACCCTCAGTTGACCAATTCAGATGCTATTCAGCAAACTTTTATTAGCTAAAGCGCTAACTGCAGCTAAAACCACCATGTCTCCTTTTAACATTTTTATTTCTGCATGCTTTTAGTAAAAACATGTAAATCATAGGATAGTATATTTGTTTTCTTTTGATGGAGCTAGGCTAACAGTTTCCCCCTGCTATCAGTCTTTGTGCTAAGCTAAGTTAAGCTAGGCTCTTTTTCTTTTGGTGGCGCTAGGCTACAGTTTCCCCCTGCTCCCAGTCTTTGTGCTAAGCTAAACTGAGCTAAGCTAAGCTATGCTAAGCTAAAAACATATATTTAATTAGCAGCATGTAAATCAGAGTTGATGTAGGGTAGATTCTTTTTACTTTTGAATAAGCTAGGCTAACAGTTTCCACCTGCTTCATGTCTTAATGCTAAACTAAAATAAGCTAAACTAAAACACCTTTTTAATTAACAACATGTATCCGAGAGACTTGGAGCTGTGGGGAAAGTAGATTCGTTATCTTTTGACAAAGCTAGGTTAGCAGTTTACCCCGTTCAAATCTTTGTGCTAAGCTAAGCTAAGCTAAGCTAAGACAAGACGTAAATCTGAAAAGACCTGAAAACACCTTTTAGTTGAAAACACGCAATCTGACAGATTTATAGCTGTTGGAAGGTAGATTCTTTCTCTTTTCACAGAGCTAGGCTAACAGTACCCTCTGCTTCCATTCTTTGTGCTAAGCTAAGCTAAAAACATCTTAGTATAACACCTGTTAGCTTGAAACAGCTAACATAACATTTAATATGCTAGCTGTTTGCAGGGAGCTGATGTTGTTTGCGTATTATTTATGCTAACTATTTGCAGCTACCATAGCATCAACCATGTAGCCAAAGATAAAAGTGTTAGCATCTGTCTGACACATCTGAGACGACAGAAACACAAACAGAAAAATGTTCCTTCAACTCATAAAATGAAAGTTAGAACTGAACTGATAGTGAATGTTATGTTGGTGAAAAGACATCTGTCTGTATCGGCTAAAACCAGGCAAAGTTTGAGTTTGACCAGAGGTGTCAACAGCATTTCAATGACCCATTTCATATGGTAGCAGATTTGATAGAAAAAAAAACAGCAATGCATTCTGATATTAACGTAAAGAGGGTGAAAATGGTTAAATCCTCATGTACCTGAAAGGCATCTGGTTGTTTTTGTAAACAAGAAAACTTCCTGTTGGATGGTTCAGATTTATTTCTTTTTTACATTATCCAAAAAGGTCTCATTTTACTGATCTGAAAGCAGAATAATGAAGATAAGGTTTCCACCTCAGCAGTGACGATAAAAACCTCGAAAAAAAAAACATCGGTCTGGTTTTTCACTCGAACATCTAAATGCTGTATAAAAAGATTATCGTGGCATCAGTGGTGGAAGTGTTAAAAAAAGACACATCAGACTTTGAGTATAAATGTTATATACTGCAGCTCGACCAGCTGTAAGTCCGTACCATGTGCGGTATCCAATAAGCAAATATATTAGGTTTAAATAGCTTTCATAAAAAATAACAACGTAAACCAGAACTGTGTAATAAAAAGAGAAGCATGTACAGACGTTTGGCGTGCCGTGCCGGTGCGCTACAACCAAAGGCAAAGATCATGTGATAATAAATACAAAACAAGGCTACATACAAAAACCAGATTAACAGGGTTACACCGTCTGTCTGTCTGCTGACAGTTTGTCTCAAAGTGCAGGAAATAAGGAGATTACTGCCGCAGGATACAACCCTCAACACAACGTAGGATCATCTGAAGAACCTTCTGCACAACCTTCTAAAGAACCCTCTAAAGAGACGTCTTAAAAAACATTTGAAGAACCACCTGGAGAACTTTCCAAACATCTTTCTGGAGAACCTGACTACAGCCCCACTTCCACCAGAGACCACAAAACTTAGTCCCACAGACACTGAAGGTATCAGCATGATTCAAAGCTCGTTGGATTTTTCAGCAGCTTCTGAAATCCCTTCAGTGAGCGTTGTTATCCTCATTTATATGGTTTATGGCCTCAAAACTACAAAGCCGGACTGGATTAACCAGCTCTGGGACCCGGGGCAAAAATTAGCTATTCAAATACACGTTCCGTAAAACCATTTAGTGGAGAGCCCCATTAACAAACCAGTATTTCTACACTAATATATGATGCTGCCACAGGGAATTTTTGGAGCGATACCATGGAGGCAGTAGGAGGCACAACCCAATCACCAGAAATGTTGGCAGTGTACGTTCTATTTCGTATGTGCTCTGCTCTGTAATGGGATTCGCTGTTAATTTATTCCTCTGAGGCATCGCCTTGGCACCTGTTAGAGGGCTGTGCACATACTCATAGAACTGGAGTTACATACAGGTAACTACTGTTTTCTGCAAACCACAGATACATTACCTTTGTATGTTTTTATTAGTGATGAGCGAGTACACCATTATCTGTAACTGTGTCTGTTTAACCAAATGAATGATCTGTATTTGTATCTGTACTGGGAATGGGCGGCATTTGGACCTGAAGTGGGTGGGGCCTACCTGAAAGTTGTTCTTTTAAGCCTGATATTGATATGGGTTGGGCAGAGGTTGCTATATATTTATTATTTATTAGAAAAGTGTTTACTGAACAATCTCAGAATTAAGCTTCAGGTCCTTTATGATCAAAAGAGATTAAACACAGCTACCCTAATGATGATTGTCCTTTATCACAAGTACAGATGTTGACAAAACTTTACTTGTATAGGACTTGTAAGTGTATCAAGTACATTGTCTCTCCTGGATACTCAATTAATCCGATTATTTGCTTCAACCCTAGTTATTCTGCTGTTAATGTGAAGTTGTTTAGGCACAAAGACCACTTAGTTATGGTTATGAAAAGATCATGTTCTGGCTTAAAATACTCAGATTTGGTGGCACTATCACGGTAGGAAATGCAATGACACGTTGCTAAAAACACAAACATTTAGTTGCTAAAAAGCTGCAGCAAATGCAGCAATGGCTTGGTAAAAAAACAACTGCTTTTCATGGCGCTATCCTCGCTGGAAACACAGTGATAGGTCACTATAAAACACCCGGTTTTGTTGTTTGTTCTCTTCAACAGTGATTTGTAGCTTGGTAGGCGTCTCTCCTAGGTGTTGACGAAGCCAGCTTAGATAGTGCGTCACTTTAGACACACAATATGATATGTATGTAACATAAATTTGTGTATTTGTGGTTTGCAGAAATGTGCATTGTTAACATTTTACTCTGGAGACAGAGCTGGGATGCAGCAGGAGGAGGCTGAGACGTGCTGCACGTCATACCAACTGTTCAGTTTGAAGCAGACTGAGAACTTGACTCTTCCTCTCAGGTCTTACTGATAGCCATGTTAACGTCGGCTGAGGCACTTGTTGGGCCAGGAAAGAGGGAGGAAGTAAAGGAGGCCAATTTGATTGGCTGAATCTAAACTCCCAAACTAACCTCTTTACTAACAGCAGTTTCCCTGAAGCATCTAATGCTGCATTAATCCTGAAAGCAGGATGTGAGAGGCTCGTCTGATCGGCTGCTGTTAGAAACAGAAACTTGCACAGAGACACAGTTTAATCCGGGTGGACAGAACCACCGGTTCAAATCTTTAGAGTGTTTTAAAAGTGTGCAAACTTCTTTAAGTGATACTTGTTTATTGTTTGGGCAGCCATGTCTGATATCATGAAGTGAGTCTGAACCCAGGAACGTATGAGTTCACGCTGTATAGCACCGTCACATTTGGTGTTGTTTACCCAGAGTCCATGTGAACAGCCCAGTACTGTGGGAGGTGGTGACTCACAACTTAAAGCACTTCAACTTTAAACTTGAACTTCCACAAAACCCCACCTGAAGGTAGGGTGAGAGCACTGTTTTTACACAGAGGTCGTGCTATAAGGCCGACACAATGGCAACGACAGCATAGCGGCATTGCGGAATCAGCAGCTTCAGCCTCTAGCGCGACATATTACATACTTCAGCAGCCTTTTCTAAACAATAACAATGGCATTAACATGGCACCAACGATCATTTACTGTCCCTGTTATATGGGGGCTGATCTTGTCCTCTGCTCAGAGGGTAAGGAGCTCATGGACCTCATTGTTTTCCCAATATGTGGACATTTTTGGCTGCTGTTCTTCTCTGAGTTAGCCACTAACTGCTATTGGCTAAATTCCAGCTGTGGGTTGCACGCATAACATATCGTCAAAACATCACCCCCATGTTGCCAATGATCCCATCAATGCCAGCTGTCCCATTTACATAGACATCTTTTTGGCACTGTTACTACCTCCGTTCCTGGCTTAAAAGGCGAGACAACTCTGTGCCTTTTATACAGAATGGTGAGACCTCATAATGGTGTGAATTTCCCGCCGTAACGAGGCAGTGTAAAAAAAGCTATAGTGAAGAAGAGAAGGCAACAGAGGAGGCAATCCTCCACAGGTCATAATGTGCCACCTAAGGTCACGACGACAACAACACTGGGTAGTTCACATGAACTCAACTGGTGAACATGGGAGGCCGTGTTTGAAGGCATCAGATGTACCTCCTGACTAAAACCAGAAGAGTAAAGGCCTTTGTACACTGGGTCCGTCTGAAACCTTGCATTCTGTCAATAAGGTTTGCACATCAACTGTGAAACTTTTGTCTGTCAATAAAGTTTTTGGAACAGGTTCGATTTTCTGCATCTTTAGGCATCCATCAAGCATCTTTCGACAGTTGCTCCAGCAAGAAGCAGTTAAGAAAATGTGGCGGCAAGACACATCTGCAACATGACAGGAACAGGTTGCACAGTATCCTTTCATTCCCCACTCTTCAAGCAGTGAGGAGAAGCAAGGGAAGAAATGTGTCTTTTAATTGTGTCTCGTACTGTAAATTTTCGCAACACATACAACAAAGCCAACTGGACTCAGTGTGCAAGGTTTGTGTGCGTAGTGCTTTTTTCGGGTGATGGATTAAATAAACATAGGATGAAACGGACTCAGTGTGCAGAGGCCTTAAGGCAGAAGAAAGTAAACAAAGAAAAAAGGACTGTTTGCTTTGATGTTGTCTAAAAATGTCACATGCTTTTACAAAGATGGCCAACTGGTTTGTCTCTCAGGCTGAAGAGGCTTGATGTTGGTTTAAATGTGTAGAAAAGTGTCTTTTCCCATGCAGCACCTGTCCTTCCACAGCACTGTCTGCTCTCCATCAGGTCAGGTTCAGCTCAGGTATATCAGAAGTGCGTGGGTAAGACAACCAGCAGACATGGCTGTGGTCCAGTTTGTCCGCCTGCTGCTGACTCACACGGTGGTCATGAGTTTGAGAGAACCCGACCTGAACCTGAGGATCTTCTTCTTCAGGTTGTGAGAGGCCTTGATCTTGACGAAGGCCTTCGCCTGAGCTGGAGTCATTTCCTGCCCCGCCGCCCTGGCCCCAGATGCCCCTACCTGGCTCCACACCCTGCCCTTTCCACCTGTCCCACCGCCGGCCCCACCTCCTCCACTCTCCTCAGTATCACTGGTGGTGGTGCTCTCCTCCACGTACTCCTCCTCACTGGACTCACTATCTCCGAAGCAGTTGGTGGTGTAGTTGGACCTCTCGTCCTCACTGGTGTCCACGATGGTGGAGTGAAAGAGCGACGCACACTCGGCTGAATACTCAGAGTCACTTCCTGCCACGTAGGAGTACGGGCTGCTCACCTGCTCAGAGGAGGGGAGGTATGCGTTGGCTGCAGAATGACTCAACAGCTCCTTTCTCTGCCGCCGCTGAGCGCGCCTGAATGCCTCATCATACGGTACCTCCATGATCGCTCGCAACCTCCGGTAATCATTTCTCTTGTACTTCGGTTTGGCAACAACCACGACCTGGTCACGCCCGTGATGATGACCATGATGGTGGTGACCATGATGGTGGTGGTGACCATGATGATGGTGGTGGTTTCCATGGTGATGGTGCCTTGATGCACCTGAGCGCACACTGCTCAGTGTTGATGTGGTGTGTTTGTCCAGAACTCGGCCTTCTGGGATGGATGCAGGGAGGCGTTTGAGCCTAGAGGAGGACACGCCATGTCCAGCTGCTCTCTTGGAGACTTTGATGTTGATTGAACCACCATCTTCTAACAGGTGGGACTTTTTAGAGCTGGACCTGTGGTGGGACTGGTCACCTCTTCTCTCTGACAGAGACTCATCATGGTCAGACAGCTTACTCGTCCTCATCACAGTCGTGGTTTTCACCTTGACAGTCTTGACATTCTTGCTGCCACCCTTGCGGAGTTTGATGTTCTGTCGCTGGGCAGAAACATGCTTGGCATTAACCATGTGACTCCCTCCTCCTGCTTCATCCTGACTCTGGGAGGAGGAGCCTAAGCTGGCGATCTCAGGCACTGACCTGTCACCCTTCTCTGTGGGGACAGTCTGTGGCGGCTTCGGGCTGTTTTTGGGAGTCGCTGACTGTGTTTTGATAACTGGCGGTGATTTGAGGAGCACTTCCTGCTCGGGAAAGTAACATGGCTGCTTGGTGTCTTTGGGGGAGGAGTTAGCTTGGGGACTGCCCAGCTCCCTGAAGTCTTTAGGCAGAGTAGCTGTGGACGCTGCTGAGGGAGGGAGAAGCCTTTTGCTTTTCTGTTTCAGCAGACTGTTAGTGCTTGTGTCAACATTAGTGACAGAGAAGCCGTTTTGGATGCCATCACTAAGAGGAGAGCTGTTCTGGTTTTGTGCCAAATCACTGCTGTTCATCTTGAAGCCATTTTGCATTGTGCCGGCACTGCCTTCAGGGAAAACATCTGACTCCTCAGGTTTACTTTCCACAGACCACTGCCTCTGAGGAGACGAGGTGGAGGCACCTTCAGCTGATACCCCTCCAGTCGCCCACGAGGGTTTGAGCTCTGACCCCCTCAGAGTTCCTAAACCAGACCCAGATAGCTGCCTCATGCAGAGACTGGCCTGCCTCAGGATGCTCTTTGATGGGTCAGTGCTGATGCTGGTCCTGGGTCTGTTAGTCCTGATGGGCAGGGCCTTCCGCTGCAGCAGACTGTAGATGTAGCTGTCCAGGCGCTTGTGGGAAGGAGTTTGGGAGGAAGAGGGAGAGGGAGCCGGCCACAAGAAGCTCTGAGATACAAGAGGAGCTGAAACTGAAGCGGGAAGAGGGGAAGACTCTGGTTTGAGTGCATCAACACCAGCCTCAACGCTCTTTAGAAGCCCTTCATCTCTGCTGGGACCTCCATGACCCAACATCTGCAGGAAGACAGGGCTCTGGACGGCCACGGCGTGCAGCGGGCTCGGGTAGCGGTAAATATCACTGCCATTTCGGGCCACCAGGTCGCAGTGGTACTTCGACTGGGAGTCACAGGAGGCAACTGAGGAGACGGGGTCCAGGGTGGGTGGGTGAGGAGCTGAGAGCGAGCGGCGGACTGTACCAGAGGAGGACGAGTCATCGCAAAGTCCTCCAACCAAACCGTCACACTCCAAACAGCTGGCCAGCTCATCTGAGGGGAGACAGAGACAGAGTGTGATGTTATGAAACAGACACAGCTGCACATTCAGGACATTCACATGTTATTTTAAGTCTGTGGACGACGGCTGCTGTAAACCACACGGCTCGACATTTCACAGCTTCAAACATAAACAGTCTCCGTGGATCTGAGTTTATTTCGTGTTGCAGTGTTTCCTAATGTCAACAGCTGACAGGAAGTTAACTGTGAGCGGAGCGGTTTCCAAGCAGAGCAGTTCTGATGAAACGCTCTGCTGAGTGTGGTAATGACCCTGTTTGGATCGGCTGCATCACTAAGTGGAAAATTCTTTCCTGTGGAGACAGTGTGCTGTTAACTCTCCGTGTTCACCACTGATCCTGGACATGACATGAAAATGATTTATGTGTCAGAACTGATGCTGAATACCCACTCAGAGAGGGGGAGAGGGTGTAGCATTACACTGTGGGAGCTGCTCAGGACTACAAGAACAATTTATTCCCTATCTAGTAGAATTTATTCTTGGCTTACAAGTTTGCAAATGTCAGCTAAAACAGCCAGCAGTTAACATCAAGGGACTGTTCGTTATTTATGAGGGAGGAGGGGGTGGGAGGCATGTCAAATAAGATTTTAAGCAATGGGGAGAGGCATATCTTTTATTTTGGCGTACGGGAGGGGCATAAAAATTAAAATAGTTGCATTTTTTATTTATTTTACCACCATTTTTTAAGGAACCATGTGGCATGTTTTCTTTACAAATCTCCAAAATTACACCATTTATCATGACCAGAAACTGTAAGAATAGAAATTATGGTAACACTTTCTATGAAGACCACATCTATAATACATTATAAGGGCATTCATAGTGAATTATAATGCATTTATAATGCTCTATGGCTACACTCATTAACACACATAATGCTTACTGATGCACTATATTAGGTAGGGCTGCCCCTGAAAGTCAAACAAACATTAGTCGACCAGAAAGGTCATTAGTCGGCAAGATTGCATTGGTCGCTTAGTCAGCTGTGTCTTGTCAAAATAAATCAAAACCTATATGACTGGACCATGTGTGACTTTACTTTGAAAGGACAGACACAGGAAGTGTCCACGCTCAGCAGTCAGACAGGAGTCAGGTTAATCTCCAGGGCTGGTACCTGCGGTTATTCCACAGGCTAGTTAATAACATGTTGGGCAGGAAATCCAAAGTGTGGGATCATTTTGAGAAGGTGAAGGACGAACCCAAGGTGATATGTAAACTCATCTTCATTGGTCGACTACAAACATGACGTATCATCTGAAACATGGAAGTAGCTACATGCCCATTAGCCCACAGTGTCATTAACAGGCGGCTCGCTCAGTGTGTGACGTGCACTTGTAGATAAAATATAGGCCTATTTTAATGAAGGTTCATTAGTACGGTTTTGTATTTCTCTGTAATGTAGCACAGTGTTAACAATGTTACTGATACTATTCTTTCTCACACCTTCAACTCAAACCTCCAAAATATATCATTTAATAATTAAATTAATATCGTAAACATGCGGGCAACTAGTCGACTAATGGACCTTAATGACGACTGTTAGACGAAAATTCTTTGTCAGGGCAGCCCTAGGTAGTTCTGCAAAATCATTTTATTTTAGATCTCATTTATAATTTGGCATTATTTTGAAAAATGTATTAACTAATTTATGGTGGAGGGAGGGTCATGAAATGTCTGCCAGTCACTCAGGGAGGCTCAAGGAAAAATATTTGATGGCTTCAGGGATGTACAAACAAAAGTCACACCACAGCCACAGATATAGCATTTACAAGAATGGGACGTATAGATGGATGCCTCTAACCATGGCTATTTCTAGTGTGGAAGCATTAAAAAAACATGCAGAGCTAAACTCATGACATCACTTCCTGTCTAGCCTATGTAACTCAAGAAAGTGTCCTCCAGCATTGCTTTGTAAAACAAATCAAGTGTGTCTGACATTCTTCATTCTATAATGAGTTAAAATCCACTACTTCCTCTTTGGATAAAAGCGTCAGCTAAATAAAGTTAATGTGATGACATCAGACTGAGAACTTTCTCCAACATCAACAGAACCAGAGTTCAGGTTCATCATGCTGCAGTCACTGTGAGGAGAAACTGATTTAAATGATCAGATATTCTGATGGAAAACTAATGAAATAAAACTCAAAGAGTAAGTCAGTACCTACATTTCTTTATTTACATTTGCTCTTTGGGTTGATTGAAAATAAAATCCAGCTGGTTTTAAGTTTCGTTCTGAATGTATCTGCTGCTGCAGAGAGTCGGAGCTGTGTGAAATATTTTGGGTGTGTTCACACTTGTTATCAGTTAATCAGAGACAGATGTTTGAGTGTCGAGTCTGAACACAGCCTCAGCACGGCAGCCTCACACACAAACCCTGCAGCACAGAAAGTAGATCCTCATCAGCTGCTGCAAAGCTGCAGGTCAAAGGTCAGGACGCATGTTTGTGTGTGTGTGTGTGTGTGTGTGTGTGTGTGTGTGTGCTGCAGGTGTTAGCAGGCTGGTGTTTGAGGTGTGACAGTTTGAGCCTTCAACAGGGAAACAGCTTCCAGATGTTTCATCACGTCCAAACAAACAAACAAACAAACCTAAAAGACACACAAACAGGCTGCTGAGAAAATATTTCATATTTCATCTAATAATTTGATTGACATATCATCGTCCTCCCTCCCTCTGACCTGCTAATCATCTGATCAATTAATGGACTGATCAGTTCTATACTGGTTGTGTATTGATTATATACTGGTTGTGGATTGGATCTGTACTGGTTATGCGATGGTTGTTTAGTGGTTATTTTGGTTGTGTGATGATTATATAGTGGTTGGATATTGTTTGGGTATTTGTGTATTGATTCTGTATTGATTGTGTATGAGTTGTGCACTGGTGGTATATTGATTGATTGATTGATTATTTTTATTTACGTGTCATGTACAAAGTGCCCAACCCTCATGGGTTTATAAGATATAAGGTATAATAGTTATGGTATATACATTTGTTGCATATTGGTTTTGTATTGGTTGTGAATAGGCTGTGTACCTGCAGACAGGAGGCGTCCATCAGCTTCAGCCATTGAACAGAAACATTCACTGAAGACGGAGTTAGATGAGTTAGAGAGGGAGCCGGACGCCCCGTCACTCAACTCATAGAAACCTGAGAGACAGACAGAGAGAGACAAGAGGAGAGACAGACAGGGAGAGACAAGAGGAGAGACAGACAGGGAGACAGGCAGAGAGAGACAAGAGGAGAGACAGACAGGGAGACAGGCAGAGAGACAAGAGGAGAGACAAGAGGAGAGAGAGAGACAGACACATGAATATTCATTCAGTAAATATCAGTCTGTATGCAGATGACACAGTTCTCTCTCTCTCTACATTCACCTCTTATTTGAACTTAAACCTCTGAACTTCAGTTTATATTTTATCAAACAGAACAAAAAAAAAACTCTGAAACTATTCATCACTACTTCATCATCAGGTCATGTCCTCAGACAGCTGACTGAACTGATCTTCATACAGATGTCTTGTAAAGAAACTCAGAACTTAGAAATAATCACAAAGGTTTCCTGGTACCTGAGCTGGGTCGGCTGTCTGTCTCCAACTGGTCATGTGACACCTCGGTGTCCAATCGCAGGTCACTGATCTGTCGGTCCAACTCCTGTAACTGACTGATGAGTCCAGCGTCCCTCCTCCTCAGACAGTTCTGATGGACAAAATGAGACATTTCGTCATTTCAGCTCTGCTTCCTGTTTCACATTTCAGTTTGTTTTCTTCAACACACACACAACAAACATCTGACAGAGTCCTGATCCCAGAGGGGACCAAGGGAACCTCTAGAGCCCCGTTTCCACCAAACACTTTCCGTAGGGTACCTTTGGAATAAAAAGTAACCCTTCAGACATGGTACCTAGACCCTAATGTTTCCACTGCAAACAGTCCTCTTAAATGTGGGTGGGGTTGTTGCCACTCAATGCATTTCCTCATCACCTGTGACACAGATGGAAGTCTGCACCTCGTTTATCATCCACAGACTGCAGTGTTCACAGCTCCACCTTTTAGTACCAGATCTGTGTGCTAGGTATTCGGGGTGTAACGATCAATCAATCTGGATCATATATATTGATTCAATAATCAATCCATATCATCATCTTAAGAATACACCTTTATTAGAAAATCTGTGTCACTGCCAAACAGCAGCAGGCAGATAGCAAGCAACCCAGACGATGGCGATAACGTAATTTACTTGGGAGTAAATCAGCAGTGTGGAAATATTTTCGATTATGGAGAGATACCGGTCAACAGACAGAGCACATGCCGTATGTAAACAATGCTGTTATGAGATAAAACGCAAGATAATGTTACCTGCCTGGACGGGCATCTTATCCTGCTAACATCTCACTACAGCAACATTAACTGCTCTGTTTCAACAATGTTCGGCTGAAAAAACCTGTATACAGACTGAAATTCAACCGAGCTGTTCTGTCAGGAGATGCAGTGACTTAAACTGATGGTGAGTAAGAAAAATAATGTCAGGCTAATGTGGGTCATTAGCAAAAAAAATGTTTTGTCCATGAACCTTGACAGTCATTACTGAGCTGAGTTTTATATTTCTGTTGTAATTCATGTTTTATGGCTGTTTGGAGAAGTTTGCCTTCAGGGCTTCAAGCCAGATAACAAAACATGGCAGACTTTGTAACATCAGCAAATATCGTATTGAGATGAAACTGGTGATTTACAACCCTACTAGGTACCCCAACAGAGGGGGGACCAAAAATGGGGGATGGTAAGGAAGGGTCCCACTGGTACCATCCACAACTTTTCACAGTGAAAACCAAAAAAAAAGGTACCGAACTTAACTTTACTAAACTGCTTGGTGGAAACAGAGCTTAAAGGTTTGGTTCCAGAGGGGACCAGAGGAACCTCTAACAGTCAGAGACAGAAACCAGAAACCAGAACAAACAGAGTGAATCTATTTACAGAGCAAAAGACCGAAAATATGATTTAAAACCAACAACAAACTGATTGAAGTCAGATATAAAACAACTGAAACCATTTGAAGCTGTTTCAAAGTTTCTGAACAGACCTCAGATCTGCTGACAGTCGGTTTACAGCTGTGTAACTTCAGTAAACACGGAGGACAGAGAGAGCAGATCTGAGATCTGAAGAAGTCTCAGAGAGATGTTTGTGTGTTCTCTGTTTTGAGTTTCAGGGTCTGTATGTCAGAGGGTTGACTGAGACTAAAGAATAGCTTAATCTACAACAGATTCAAGTGAAGTTGAAGGAAATCAGCCTGCAGGCCACAGAAGTGTTTAATGATATGATACCTATGGTGCTCCACAGGGGTCAGTCCTGGGATCCGTTATATTTACAACCGTCCAGACGTTAGACAGCTCATCATTCAGACCTGCTGACCAGGGTTCTCAGGGTTCTCTGTGGCACTTGCCGGCCCACATTGTGGTATTTTTCTACACACACGCAGCAGAGTCTCACTTTCAACAACAAACACCACCCCACTACCTCATATAAACATGTAACCTTTCTTAAAAGGGAAGGCTTGGTTGGTGTTTGTCCTGAAAAATGAGAACCGTAGAGTTTTCCTTTTGTTTCAAGCAGCAGATAAGTTGTTTGAGTTAAAATGCCTTACTTGATATTGCACGTCCTGTGATGCGACTATTGTGCATTGCAATGTCGATGTTGAAACGACATATTGTGCAGCCCTAATCCACATATTAGAACTACATTATGTCAAAAGCTGTTATGTTACATTACATGGAAGGTTATCCTTGGAAGATCACTGTAAGTGTTTAATTCATTATACACAACAAAATTCCATGAGTATTCCAATAAATGATTTTTGCTAATTCAATGACTTTTCCAGCGCTGGAAAACAAGATTCTGAAATTCCATGAGTTTTCCAGGTCTTCCATGACCATGGAAACCCTGTGCTGACTAGGGCGGCCCCCGACTAAGAATTTTTCTAGTCGACCAATAGTCGTCATTTAGGTCCATTAGTCGACTGGTCTCCTGCATGTTTCTGATATTAATGTAATGATTAAATGATATATTTTGGTGGTTTGAGTTGAAGGTGTGAGAAAGAATAGTATCAGTAACATTGTTAACACTGTGCTACATTACAGAGAAATACAAAACCGTACTAATGAACCTTCATTAATATAGGCCTATATTTTATCTACAAGTGCACGTCACACACTGAGCGAGCCGCCTGTTAATGACGCTGTGGGCTAATGGGCATTTAGCTACTTCCATGTTTCAGATGATACGTCATGTTTGTAGTCGACCAATGAAGATGAGTTTACATATCACCTTGGGTTCGTCCTTCACCTTCTCAAAATGATCCCACACTTTGGATTTCCTGCCCGACATGTTATTAACTAGCCTGTGGAATAACCGCAGGTACCAGCCCTGGAAATTAACCTGACTCCTGTCTGACTGCTGAGTGTGGACACTTCCTGTGTCTGTCCTTTCAAATTAAAGTCACACATGCTCCAGTCATATAGGTTTGGATTCATTTTGACAAGGCGCAGCTCCTGATAGAGTTGCCGGTAAATGACCTTTCTGGTCGACTACTTGGGGGCAGCCATCCTGCTGACGCCAGCAGACTGGCTTTACTACAGACGAGATAACTTTGTAAGAATGTAACGCTGACAGGACATTAGTCCAGATAACTGAACTTTTCTCTCTGTCCTTTCAAAACATCTGGCTTCTCTCAGGTTTGAGCTGCAGCTGCAGATGAGTATTTGACACCAAAGGTCAGAGGTCACAGGACCTGAAGGAGCCAATGACCCTGAACACAACATACACTTGTGATAACGAGCAGCTTCATCATCACACACAGTCATCTTCATCCTGCTGATGAGCAGAAACTCTGATCTCAGATCTGCTGCCGTCTGTTTTTAAAGGACCATTCTCAGGTTTCACTTCATTTCCTATTAAACTGATCCTGCAGAGAGAAAAACCCTCACAGCCTGTGTGCAGGAAGCTTTATGTTTCAGTGATGTTGTCCATCAGCTGAGAGCAGAGACATTCTCAAACGCTCCCTCTGGGACATGGTATATTCTTGGCTTACAATTATCACAGACATGTGCAGTATGTGATTTAATCTGGGAGAGCTGCCAACAGACAGACAGAAGCAGCCACTGGTAAAATGTAACAGACTGATCCACCCACTGCTGATAATGGAGCCATATATATGTGTATAGCCATGATGACATACTGCCCACCCTCTGGTCTCCACTGGTAAGCGTTAGCTTCTGCATTCCACACTGGCTGGGTGGGGCTCCTCGTCTGCGATTATTGCTGGGGACAGTGTCCCTGCAGCAGGACGCATTGTTGCACAAACATGGTGGCCACCTTTCAGTCTCACTGCAGGCGCCCCGATGAGTAAGTGGCTTCATTTTGAGCCGCAAAACCTCTTTAGTACTGTTAATTATGTTAGCACCACTAGCTCTGCTGATAGCTACTGCTAACTGTGCTAACAGAGCTAAGAGTGATAACATAGTTGATAATGCTAAAAGGGGTTTGCTTAAACACCAGGGCGACCTGGGGGGGAGGCCATAGTGTGGGTACAATGTTTCCGCAGCAACGCTGTTGGGTTGGAATGGGGTTAACAGCTGTAATTGCCAAATGAGTGGCCCCGCCAGCTAGCTCCCATCAGACCCAGCTGCTGCCCAGCACAGAGCGGCTAAGGCTAGCTAACCAGTGGAGACATGACGGTGGGCATTTCTGCATGTAAGCACTGCTAGCTGGCTGTTTCCAATCAGACCCGGGTGGTGCACATTTGAGTAAACTTGAGTAATAATACTAAACTAAAGACCAACATGAGTAACTAGTCATCCCTAATATAGGCTATATATGTGCTCAAAGTGTAACACTAGAGTGACTATTTATTGCCACATCCTCGGCCTACTAGCATGTGAAAACAAGACGCTTTTGTCGCGTCTGATGAACAATTAAGTTTTCGGAATCACAATCTCACATTCAAAACACTATTGGGAAAAAAATGGTCACATTCAGTGTGCTGATTAGGACTGTCAAAATTGCTCAAAAATGACGTTCGAATATTCGTTCTAAAAATAACTCATAGGTTCGAACCATTCGAATTTTTTTTTTCGCATTATGTCCACAAGAGGGCAAACTAATACAAGGAAATATAGTTCTGTATGTATTAATACAAGGAAACATAACTACTTGTAGTTATTTTTATTTCATCATAAACTTCTTTGAAAACATTTACATACCTACACATTAAAACACATAAAACAATTATCTATAACATTACGTTATAAACGACCGTGGACCTCTCGCTCGCCCCCCCTCTCTGACCCGTTAGGCCACACCGCCCGCGGAAGTGCTGCGAATAGCCTCGAAGCACCGAGAAGGGAAGCCAGTTTCCTTTCGGCGCCCATATTAACCGATTGTGTCATTCACACCGGCTGTGCCGCGCCGTGCAGCTCCATGGCCACTCCCACCTCCCACTCGCAAAGAGGACAGCTGCGGTGGTGTTTTTTTTTCTCCACAATCGAATATCAATTTTCACATTCGAAGGTCCATTTTTTTTTCAAATTCGAATTTAAATTCGAATTTAGAATATTCGTTGACAGCCCTAGTGCTAATGCTAACCGCTAACATTACACTATCAGGAGAGGCAGAAGGTGATGCACCACAGAGATCACCTCTGTGGAC